CTTCCCTGTCGGTCTCACGTTCTCTGGAAATGCAGAAATAACCAGCTCCCGGTTCTCAGGGTGGAGACAGAGGAGGCATGGCTGTGGGGTTAGAGAGGGGTTAGCATGCACGGGGATTTGGGTGCAGATCCTGGCGTACATGGAGGAGCAGGCCCTGTGGTCACTGATGACACTGGATGTGACAGCTTTTGGGCCACTGTTCTCAGCCTCTGATCTCCTCCCTGCTCTGGTGTCAGCAGGTGGGGGTGCTGCTAGAGAAGCTCAGGTGTCCTGGGCAGGGACCCTGTGTTTGGGGACACACTGACATTCCTATATTTTAAGTAGCATCTTCCTTCACTTCCCAGGACACGCTGGACACTCTGGGGGCCCTGTGCCCTCCCCTGGTTCAGGCCAGGGACACACCACGTAAGTGCACCTTGGAGGTGAGCTGTTGTTCATTCTAATGAATGAACTCAGGTTATGGGAGTTGATCACTGTGGGGACCATGGAAAGCAGCAAGGGCTCAAGCTCCCACACACTTTTATTCAGACGACACTCAGGATTAATGCACTCTGAAGTTGCTAGCAATGACTTACCATCAATCTTAAATCTACCTTTCTGGGGTGCAGTAAAAATGTTTCCCCCAGGTTTCTTCTCCTGCTCCTCTTCCTCTTCCTCCCTCTCCTTCTGCTCCTCATCCTCCTAATCTGTATTTACTGGGCCTGGTCTCAAGCAGGAAGCACACATATTAATGAGTTCCAAACCCTGCTCTGAGCTCAAATGTCAAATTGAAAAGAGAGACAATTATAAAATGTCAACAATCCCAATAACAGGCCGGGTCCTTTGACAAGGAGCTGTTTCTCAGTGAGTGTCACTATGAGTGTTATAATGAGTGCTGCCCTGCTCCTCCCTCTCCCTCAGGACTCAGCCCCTGGAGCTAGGGAATCCCCTGTCTTTCCTGCTTCCAGGGGAACCATCTCTGTGTTCTCTGGTGAGATCACAACTCCAGGACTTCACAGCCTGAGTCCCCTTCTCCCCAAGCTGTTCCCCAGTTTCTCCCCACGGATTCCCTTATATTCTCTCTCCTTATGTGATAAACAGCTGACATACAGTGACGGCTACGTTCCAGCCGCTGTTGTACATGTTTCAGGCCCATTGGTCCTCATATGTCCTTAAGCAGTGAGTTAGTATTATCACCCCCTTTGCAGGTGAGGAGCTGAGCAGAGAGGATCCCCCAGGATCAGCCAGTAAGAGACACAGCCTGGATGTGACCAGGCAGCCCTGCCCCAGAAATCACACTGGAACTCAAACAC